TTTCAGGCTTGGAATAATTTGTTTTTCTTTAAACAACATCTTTGCAATACCTGCAGTGTGAGAGCTTCTCTCCTGTGTCTGCTTTCTCCTGATGAGCTCCTGGTCAGCTCTGGGGACCTGGCAAAAACACCCCTCTCTGGAGCCTCTTTTGTGTCTGTTAGTTTTGTCCCCTTGCTCTGTTGCAGGGCTTGTCACACTGTAGAGCCCCCTCTTCTGTCTCCCTTTAGAAAACTGTAATTTTGATTCTGCACTGAATCCCCATCTCAGGACTGGGCGCAGAGGAAGCATCCTGTTTGTAACTGCGTGCTACACGTGAGTGAATGGATTTGGGGAAGGGGCCAGGGCTTTTTTTTTTTTTTTTTTTTTTTTTTTGACAGGCAGAGTTTGACAGTGAGAGAGAGAGAGAGAGAAAGGTCTTCCTTCCGTTGGTTCACCCCCCAAATGGCCGCCACGGCCGGCATGCTGCGCCAATCCGAAGCCAGAGCCAGGTGCTTCCTCCTGGTCTCCCATGGGGTGCAGGGCCGAAGGACCTGGGCCATCCTCCACTGCACTCCTGGGCCACACCAGAGAGCTGGCCTGGAAGAGGAGCAACCGGGACAGAATCTGGCGAGGGGCAAGGGCTTTGAGGCTGAACCACATGATCCTGGGACTGTGCTGTGGCCCAGTGGGTTAAGCTGCCACCTGTGATGCCAGATCCCATATGAATACTGATTTGAGTCCTGGCTGCTCCACTACTTTTTTTTTTTTTTTTTAAGATTTATATATTTGAAAGGCAGAGTTACAGAGAGAGAGAGAGAGAGAGAGAGAGACACCTTCCATCGCTGGTTCACCCCCCGACATGCCCACTACAGCCAGTTCTGGGCCAGACTGAAACCAGGACCAGCCGCTCTACTTCTGATCCAGCTCCCGGCTAATGCTCTTGGGAAAGCAGCAGAAGACTGCCCAAGTCCTTGGGGCCCTTCCCCACGTGGGAGACCCAGATGAAGCTCCTGGCTCCTGGCTTTCGCTTGGCCTGAGCCAGCCCATCTAGGAGTGAATCAGCAGATGGAAGCTCTGTCTCTGTCGGTCTTTCCCTCTCTGTGTAACTCTGCCTTTCAAAGAAATCTTTAAAAAACAAAAAAAGAAAGAAAGAAACCCCTTGATCCTCCCATCCTTTTTTTTTTTTTTTTTTTTTTTTTTTTTTTACAGGCAGAGTGGACAGTGACAGAGAGCGACAGAGAGACAGGTCTTCCTTTTGCCGTTGGTTCACCCTCCAATGGCCGCCGCGGCCGGCGCGCGGCGGCCGGCGCACCGCGCTGATCCGATGGCAGGAGCCAGGAGCCAGGTGCTTTTCCTGGTCTCCCATGGGGTGCAGGGCCCAAGCACCTGGGCCATCCTCCACTACACTCCTGGGCCACAGCAGAGAGCTGGCCTGGAAGAGGGGCAACCGGGACAGAATCCGGCGCCCCGACCGGGACTAGAACCCGGTGTGCCGGCACCGCTAGGCAGAGGATTAGCCCAGTGAGCCGTGGTGCCGGCCGATCCTCCCATCCTTTCTTCCTGTGAGAGTTAGCATAATCATCCACCCAGGAGGAACTCCTGCCTGTCCGATTTCCTGGAGTAGAAATTCTTTTCCTTTTTCGTGAGTCCTTGCCTGACACCCCAGACCCTGGGCCTGGCTCTGGGCCTCACTGCTAGCCTCTTTTGGCTCTGGCCCCTGTCTGCCAGATTCTTGTTTACTGCCTATGGCTGGATCTTCTTGAGGCCTGGCCTGTGCAGAGCCCGATGCAGGCTGGTCCTGCTTGGCCATCCTTGGTGATGTCTGTGTCCCTTCCAGTTAAGTCTCTGGCATATGTGGTATAGCCATAGTTACCCCTTCACTTGGGGAAACTGGTTCCCTGGTGTCCTGGCTGGTGAATGAGTAACAGACATCTCTGCATCTACTTCTCTGTCTTCAGGCAGACAGCCCTACCTTGCTGGGCCTTTTCTTCTCCAGGCTCCCTGCTTTCTGAAAATTATGGAGTGGCCCAGGACCACTGCCCATGCGTTGGCTGTGTTCATTATGCAGTGGTAGAGTATCCCACATAACGCTGTCCTTGATTTAGAAAAGAGAGGTTACAGTCTGGAGATCTTGGAATTCACTTATCAGGTATTATGTTATTTAGATGCAACTAGATTTACAGAACACAATGGAATTGATGACTCAGCTATGTCAGGTTGGAATACTGCTTGCCTAGGCTTTAAACTATTTTTTTTTTTTTAATTTGAGAGAGAGAGAGAGAGAGATCTCCCATCTGCCAGTTCACTTGCCCAAATGCTCACAATGGCTCAAGGCTGGGTCAGGCCAAAGCTAAGAGCCAGGAACCAAATTCAGTTCTCCCATGTGAGTGACAGGGACCCAACTACTAGAGCCATCACCACTGCCTCCCAGCACACATCAGCAGGAAACTTGAGTCAGAAGCTGGAACCAGTACCAAACCCAGGCATTCCAATGTGATCTCAGGCAGCCCAGCCCACCAGACCAAATACCCACCCCCCTGCAGGCTTTAAGACAATGATCAACATATAATTATTTGTCTTTTTAGAAAAGAATATGTATTTTTTATTTGAAATTCAGAGTGACTGAGAGATGTCTTCTATCTGCTGGTTCACTCCTCAAGTGCCCACAACAGCCAGGGCTGGGCCAGGCAAAAGCCAAGAGCCAGGAATTCCACTGGGGTCTCTCTTGGGAGTGGCAGGGACCCAAGTACTTGAGCTATCAACTGCTGCCTCCCAGGGCAAGAAACTGGATTGGAAGTGTAGGAGTCGGGGCTGAAACCAGACAGCATCCCGAGAGGACTCTTTAAAAAAAAAAAAAAAAATTTTATTTATTTATTTTACGGGGCCAGCATTGTTGCGTGCTTCTTCTTGAACTTATGAAGCTCTTGTTTAACTCACGTGGTTAGAGCTGGGGGGTCAGAGCCCAAGGAGAGGTGGGGAGAGGCTATTCTGCGCAGACCAAACAATCGGATGACTTCATGACCAAGAGCTCAGAGCCTTGAGGAGTTTGGGTCTGGGTCACTTCATAAGGAAGAAAACTGATGGCTGATGGCAAGGGGATCTTCTATTTATTTATTTGAAAGAGTTACACACAGAGAGAAGGAGTGGCAGAGAAAGAGAGGGAGAAAAAGGTCTTCCATCTGCTGGCTCATTCCCTAAATGGCTGAATCAGTGCAAGCTGGGCGGATCCGAAGCCAGGAGCCAGGAGCTTCTTCCGGGTCTCCCGCGCAGGTGCAGGGACCCAAGGACCTATGCCATCTTCTACTGCTTTCCCAGGCCATAGCACAGAGCAGGATTGGAAGTGGAGCAGCTGGGACTCGAGCCGGCACCCATATGGGAAGCTGGCACCAGAAGTGGCTTTACCGACTACACTATAGTGCCAGCCCGGCAAGGGGATCTTGCAGTAGGAGAGGGAAAGGGGAAAGGGAGGGGAAGGGGAAAGGGGAGGGAAAGGGGAGGAGACATGGCCTTAGGGCCTGGGTATGAATGGGGCTGAAGTCACCACCTATATTCTCTTAGCTGTTACCCAAACTTTGACTTTTGCCTTCTATCCCCTATTCTGTTTTAAAATTGCAGTTGTTGTGATCATAATTTTTTCTCTCCAGTTCCCCTGCTTCTGCATGTAGGTTTGTTGGTGTCGGGCGATGTGCCATCGGGTCTCCAGGTTGTAGAATGGTGAGTCAGAATCACGTGGGAACCGGAAGAGGATGCTTCCTAGGGTCAGAAATGACTCTGTTCTCTAATTGCAAACTGAGCTCTCTACACACGTACTACAAGGAGGAAGGGAGTGACGGGGATCAGGGTCAGTGAGTGGAACTCTGACAAGCTACTCCAGCTTGGGACCGAGGACTTTCTTATCCAGTTACATCTGTGCACATGGGCAACTGCACAGGAACCCACTGTGCAGGCGCCACGGAGGGCGTCTGTGCCTAGCAGGAATTCTCTGCAACCTGAGCTCTGTCCCAGGGGACTCTTTCTATTTTTTTTTTTTTAAAGATTTATTTATTTATTTGAAAGTTAGAGTTACACAGAGAGAGAAGGAGAGGCAGAGAGAGAGAGAGAGTGTGTGTGTCTTTCATTCCTGCTTCATTCCCCAAGTTGCTGCAATGGCCAGAGCTGCACAGATCTGAAGCCAGGAGCCAAGAGCTTCCTCCGGGTCTCCCATGTGGGTGCAGGGGCCCAGGACTTGGGCCATCTTCTACTGCTTTCCCAGGTCATAGCAGAGAGCTAGATCAGAAGTGGAGCAGCGGAGACTCGAACCAACACCTATATGGGATGCCGGCATTGCAGGCGGTGGCTTTACCCAATACGCCACAGCATATTAAACAAGAAAAAAGAGTAGCCTTCAGTCTGGCTTTGTGGTGCAGTGGGGTAAGCCCAGGCCTGCAATGCCAAGATCCATAGGAAGGCTGGCGGAGTCCCTGCTGCTCCACTTCAGATCAGGCTCCCTGCTAATGTACCTGGGAAAGCAGCAAAGGATGTCCCAAGGGCTTGGACCCCTGCCACTCAAGTGGCAGACCCAAATAGAGTTTCAGGCTCCTGGCTCCACCATTGTAGCCACGGCCATTTGGGGGCTGGATCTCTTCTCTCCCTCTCTGGAACTCTGCCTTTCAAATACATAAATAATTTTTTATATGGGGCGTGCACTTTTTAAATTTTTTTTAAATTTATTTGACAGAATGATAGTGAGAGACAGAAAGGTCTTCCTTCCGTTGGTTCACTCCCCAAATGGCCGCTGAGGCCCCTAAATAATTTTTTTAAAGTAGCTTTCATTAATGATGAATCAGATGTGCACACAATTAATATAAAATTCCAGATTTTGATCAAAGGAACATAAGTGCTCTGAGATGATACAAAGCGGGGGACCAGTCTTGTCTCGGGGATCACAGAAGGTTTCTCAGATCTGAAATGTGGGGAAGCCTAGCCAGGAGACAACATTTCAGGCAGAGGCTGCGGTGCGTGCCACAGCCTCGAGGAAGGAGGGGCCCAGCGAGCGCCGTTAGGCGACAGCCAGACCTGGAAGGCCTGGCCTTGAGCAGCCGGCGCGGGGGAGGCGGCTGCGGCGCAGGGGCCCCGCGCAAGGCTCTCACGCAGAACCGAACCGGCCCACGTGGGCCGCCCCAACCCCGCCCCGCCGCGCAGACGCCGCCAGCAGCCGCAGTCAGGGCCCGGGCCGCGGGAAAGCCCGGGCGAGACACCTCCAGGCCAAGCGGGGCGCGCCGGAACCAGAGCCAGCTGCGCCGGAGCGGGCGCCTCCAGGCCGTGAGTCCGGGCCGAGGGGGAGGACTGGGGGCCCCGCCGCGGGGGCCGGGGGCTGGGGGCTGCAGCCCGCGCCCAGCGGCCCCTCCGCGGAGCTCTGCGGGGACGGCCTCTGCCCTGTTTCCCCGGGGACGTCTCCGGCAGCGCCAGGAAGGAAGGGCGGCAGCCGCCGCTCCCGGCCCTGGCAAATTGCGGATTAACTGGGGGTGGGGCCGGGGTCTGATCCCCATTTTACTATCGCTGAGAACCCAGGATCCTCAGCGCCACCACCAGCCCATTCCAGCCTGCTTAGGAAAAAGACTCGGGGGAGGCTCCAGGCACCTAAGTGCACACTTTGGTGGGAGGCCTGGGGGTCCGCAGGTCACCGCGGGAATCGTTCCCACTGGATCCTTCCAGGCCTTCTGCCCTCTCCCAACTGTGGGAAGAGCTTGTGCCACCTTAGGGGTCCCCCTGGGGCCTGCTGCCCTTACCTTGTACCCCTTAGTGACCCTCCGGTTTCCCTGTCCTGGGAGTAAGTGTGTGGTCGTGGTCGGGAGAAACCTCTTCTCAGTTCAGACCGGGATTTTGGTGGAAGCCCTGCTAGGAAGAGGGATGCCCTTTGCACTCCCTCCTGGAACTCCGGATGGGGCAAACTAGGGCCAGGATGCAGGTGGTGGGGGAAGAGGGATGGCGCATCGGGCGCGGCACCTCAGTGCTTGCTCCAGGAGCATGATGGGGGGAGCTGGAGGAAGGCATGAGGAACTGTGTTTACATTTATTAAGGGCGGGGCAGATGGAGGGGGGATTCTCAGGCAGGCCTCAGAGCATTTGCCGGGTGGAGAGGGAGGAGCTTAGAGGGGAAGGGAGAGGCAGGCACTGCAGGCCAGAGCCATAGTGGAGCGCAACAATAGTGGATCTTGAGCTCCTGGAGCAGTCGGATGTGATGGGAGGCAGGGTGCGGGTGCTCAGGGCCATTAGGCCATGTAGATCTTTGAGAGGAGTTCAGGAACAGTACTCACTCAATTTTTAAATTTGCATTTTAAAATTCATTTATTTATGGGGCTGGCATTGTGGCATAGCGGGTAAAGCCACCGCCTGCAGTGCCAGCATCCCATATGGGCGCTGGTTTGAGTCCCAGCTGCTCCACTTCCAATCCAGCTCTCTGCTGTGGCCTGGGAAAGCAGTGGAAGATGGCCCAAGGCCTTGGGCCCCTGCACCCTCATGGGTGACCTGGAAGAAGCTCCTGGCTCCTGGCTTCAGATTGCCACAGCTCCGGCCATTGCAGCCATCTGGGGAGTGAACCAGCGGATGGAAGGTGTCTCTCTCTCTCTCTCTCTCTAACTCTGCCTTTCAAATAATTAAATAAATCTTTTTTAAAAAATTCATTTATTTATTTGAAAGGCAGTGACATGGCCGGCGCCGCGGCTCACTAGGCTAATCCTCTGCCTGCGGTGCCGGCACACCGGGTTCTAGTCCCGGTCGGGGCGCCGGATTCTGTCCCGGTTGCCCCTCTTCCAGGCCAGCTCTCTGCTGTGGCCAGGGAGTGCAGTGGAGGATGGCCCAGGTGCTTGGGCCCTGCACCCCATGGAAGACCAGGAGAAGCACCTGGCTCCTGCCATCAGATCAGTGCGGTGCGCCGGCCGTGGCGGCCATTGGAGGGTGAACCAACGGCAAAAGGAAGACCTTTCTCTCTGTCTCTCTCTCTCACTGTCCACTCTGCCTGTCCAAAAAAAAAAAAAAAAAAAAAAAAAAAAAAAAAAAAGTCAGTGACAGAGAGAAGAGAGAAATACCAATCTTCTGTCTACTAGTTCACTCTCCAAATGGCTGCAACAGCGAGGGCTGGGCCAAGCTGAAGCCTGGAGCCAGGAACTCCATCCTGGTCCCTATGTGAGTGGTAGGGGCCCAAGTACTTGGGCCATCTTCCACGGCCTTCCCAGATGCATTAACAGGAAACTGGATTGGAAGTAGAGCAGCTGGGACTTGAACCAGCTTTCTGATATGGGATGCCAGCATTGCCACAACAGCTTCACCTGCTGTGCAACCACGTTGAGCCCCCAAATTTACATGTTTAGCCACAGGAAGAGAGATTAGTGAAAAGGCTGTGGCACTAGTCCAGGTAAAAAATGGCCTGAGCCAAACGAAATTGAAGAGGAAGAATTGTCTGAATTTGGTGATTGATAAGAGATGAGGGACGGAAGGAAAATGCTTATTCCAGGATGCTTCCGGGCTCTGGCTGGGGTGGCTGAACAGGGAGCAGAGCCGTCTTGCTGAGGACACGAAGATGGGAGCTGGCTGGGACTGGGAGATTTCCAGGGGCCTGTGGGTGGCTGCAGGGCTGGGTAACAGTTGGATCTGGGCTGGAGACAGATTGGAGAGTCACCAGCATATGATGATTCCCAAAGCTGCAGCCCACAGCCGGGTCATCTGGGGAGAAGCGTGTAGAACGAAAAGGCAGCCTGCCTCGGAGCGCTGAAAAACACGCTGTGCAGGCTACTGCAAAGGAGCAGTGAGGGAGGTGGGGACCAGCAGGGGCAGTGCGAGCCCAGCCAAGGGGAGGGGATGACAAGGAGCTGCCAGGCGTGTGCCTGCTGCCCTGTGGCCAGGCTGCTGTGGCTCTGTCCTGTGTGACTCTTCTGCTTCCCCTTTGCAGACCAGATGTTCGCCATGGAGCCAGGGCTAGCTGAGGGGGGCCCGTTCCTGGGGGGCCCGCCCCCCGGAGTATGCCAGCCCCAACCAGACAGCAACTCCAACTTCATGGCAAATCCCAGGGACGCCAATGAGAACTGGCACGGGATGCCAGGCACCGTGGAGCCCGTCCTGAGGAGGAGCTCCCCCGAGCAGCCCTCCAACAACCAGGCTCCCAGAGCCCCCGAGGAGGGCGTCCGCAGCCCCCCGGAGGGAGCAGAGATTCCCGGGGTTGAGCCTGAGAAGATGGGGGGCACCAGCACACTCTGCTCCCCTCTGGAGGACAACGGCTATACCAGCAGCTCCCTGAGTATCGACAGCCGCAGCAGCAGTCCTGAGTCTGCCTGTGGGACCCCTCGAGGCCTGGGCCCCCCGGATCCTCTTCTGCCCTCCGTGGCCCAGGCTGTGCAACAGCTGCAGGCTCAGGAGCGCTATAAAGAGCGGGAGAAGGAGAAGCACCATGTGCACCTGGTGATGTACCGGCGCCTGGCACTGCTCCAGTGGATCCGGGGCCTGCAGCACCAGCTGGTTGACCAGCAGGCCCGGCTGCAGGACAGCTTCGATACCATCTTAGACAATCGCAAGGAGCTTATCCGGCGTTTCCAGCAGAAGGCAGCACCATCTAGGCCCCAGGACCAGGGCTAAGGCTGTGCCCCCACAAGTGTGCGAGGGTATATATGTGTATGTTTGCAGGCATGTGTGTGGCTGTGCACAAATAAGTATATGATTATTTGCTAGCTTGAGTGCGGGTAAGCATAATGAATGAGTGTGTATGTGCTAACATAAAAACGGGTGTGTGCAGGTATGTGTGAATGAGCTTGAGTGTGCTGTTACATGTGAGTATGTAAGAATGAACATGTATGTAGCATGTATGTAATGGAGTGAATTTGTATATGCAAGTGTGGACAGGTACCCAACAGCGTGTGTATGTGCATAAGTGAGGATGTTTATGCACAAGATGTGTGTGTGTGTGTGTGAATGTGTAGGCATGTGCTAGGTGTGTGTGAGTGAACCCCTGTGTGTGCAGGCCTATATGTCGGGGTGCATATGTATTTGCAGACAGACTGGTGAGCAGGTGCCTACTGATTTCATCTGCACACATCCTGTGTTACCCGTGGCCTACACCAGCCTTTGTTTTCCTCTGGGTCTCACTGTCCCCCAATGAAAAATGGCTGGCCTGCTGTCAGTTGAAGGATGTACCCTGCTGTCATCTATCTGTGGCTGATCCATTCTCCTAGAATTTTCCAGACCATTTCTCTTCATCTCTTCCCCTCACTTATCCTATACCTTGCTCTTCTCGCTCACTGTCCTTGATGCTGGCTTTGCTGTGAGGGGTTTAGAGGCTGTTCTGGCCTACCACAGCATTTTGTAACAATATTTATTTATTTATTTGAAAGGCAGTGTTACAGAAAGAGAGAGAGGTCTCCCGTGCACTGAATCATTCACCAAATGGCCATAAGGCAAGTTCAGCCTCCTGGGCCTGGCGATCTGATGGTGGTCTCTCAGCAGCTTCCCAGTCTGATGAGGGTGTCTTGGCCCTGCCTGAGAGAGCCCTGCATGAGATTGTCCTTGTCCTAAGTCGCCTGTCTGGAGCCAGGAGCTTCTTCTGGGTCTCCCATGTGGCTGCAGGGCCCCAGGGACTTGCGCCGTTTTTCTGATGCTTTCCCAGGTGCATTTGCAGGGAGCTGGATCAGAAGTGGAGCAGTTGGGACTTGAACCGGCGCCCGTATGGGATGCTAGCATTGCAGGCAACAGCTTGACCCGCCACGCCACAACACCAGCCCCCTGCCATAGCATGTTATCTACAGTTTTTCAGAGCAGTTGGTGGAGAATTGGCTTGAGGGAAGGAAATTGGGAGCGGGAAGGTGCAGCTCATGGCAGGAGGTGGCAGGGAAGGTTGGGGACTATTCCTCTTGGGCTCTGCCATTGGACACACTGGACATGGTGATAGGGAAATGACAGTGGCAGAGCCCTTTGAGGAACAGGAGAGTGGAAATTCTAACATAGCAGGTCCCTAACCGACCGAAGCATTGACTTAAGTTTCTGCCGAGAAGGAACGTGCGCTCACAAGCTTGCAAGAAATAGGTGGGTGTTCCAAGGCAGTCGGGGAAAAACCTCTCCCTGCCCCCTCTGTGCCTGTGCCTTGCTGTGCGTCTCTGGCTTTCGCAGTTTTGCCTGTTAATTGGGTTGGTCCCTTTCTGCAGGGCGAGACTGTGGGCAGGAGGCAGCATCAGCCCAGCCTCGGGCAGCTCTTGGATGGCCTTTCAACAGGGACAGGCTCCAGCAGAGGCTCCGAGAGCTGTTGAGTGGTCATGTCTTGGGCAGGACCAACGACTGAGGTAGCTGAACTCTCGGCTCTGCTCCTGGGAGCCGAGAGAATGTGAGGTTGCTGTGGGTGAGGCTACGCCGTCGGGCCCTCAGTCTCCATGTCTGCCGTGCATAGAGGATCTTGCTGTCCATCTCGAAAGAGTTCCATCCCGAGGAGTGGGTGGGGGAAAGGTACAGGGAGAGGGCGTGAAATGTGGACCCTGGGCTCTTGGTGTCTGTAGCTCCTGCATGCTGAGCGTGAACCTGCTGCCTGGCCTAACCCAGGATGAATAAACTGGGGCCAAGAGTGGAACTTCGCAAGTGTGTGTCTCTGTTCTGTTGTCTGGTGTCCTCTTCTTCACCGACCTCCCTTTGGGCAGGGGCCTGTGCTGGGAGGTAGGGGGCGGTGGTCAGGAGAGACACTGGGGAGGAGTTCAGCCTCCTGGGCCTGGCGATCTGATGGCGGTGTCTCAGCAGCTTCCCAGTCTGATGAGGGTGCCTTGGCCCTGCCTGAGAGAGCTCTGCATGAGGTTGTCCTTGTCCTAAGTCGCCTTGGAGCCGAATAGATTGTAAGGTGTGTGACTCTGCCCACCCGGCCTCCCACCATCACATACACAACACTGCTATTCAATCATAGCCTGGAGTCCCCACTGCCCTTAAGGGTCCTGGACTGGGAGAGACTGAGGTAGGAACCAGAGAGTGTATCTCCTGTTTTACGCTAGTGCATATGGTTTAATAATTTCTAATTTTCCCCCATGCTTGCAGCACTCTCAGCTCCCAAGTCTGAGATCTTCCAGGTCCAAGGCCATTGCTGGCCCCAGCCTTGCTTGGAGCCCCCAGACCCCGAGGCCAGCCAGCTTTCACCATAGCTGGTCTGGCCTCTTCTCAAAAAAAAAAAAAAATCATTATTTTGATAAAGAAAGTATATTATCTACGGCTGCATAACAACTTACCCTCAAACTTAGGGAGCACTTAAAACAGTCCACATGTGTGATGTCACACACACATGTGACATGTGCTGGGCGCCGGAGCACAGCTGTTGGGTCTGCAGGGTCGCGGTCTATCCCAGGGCTGCTGGCTAGGTGTCAGCCTAAGGTCTCCGTTGTTCGCCCTCAGCCGTGTGCTGCAGTGCCTGGCCGCGTGGGCCCTTCCAGCATATCCCCTTGCTTCCTGAAAGCACGTGAAAGGGCCAAGTGACAGCTAGTAGGACAGAAGTCCCAGTGTTCTGCAGCCTCGTCACAGAAGTGCCACCCCTCAGGGTCCCACGGCTAGCAGCCCGTCCCTTGAGGCTCTTATGCAAGGCTATGGGTACCGGGAGGCAGGGGCTACCCACCACTGAAGGCACATGTTGGTTAAGTAAAGGTACATTTTACTGGTTAACTGTCTTACAAATGATTATATTCTACTTATAAGAATTTAAACATTTCAGAGCAATCTAAGTTCTCTTTTAGCCTTCCAATAAAGTGTATTTATTGTATATTTTAAAAACTCCTTTTTTAAAAAAGATTATTTATTTCAAAAGCAAAATTACAGAAGGAGAAACAGAGAAATTTTCCATCTGCTGGTTCACTCCCTAAATGACTGCAATGGCTGGGACTGGGCCAGGCTGAAGCCAGGAGCCTGGAACTCCATCTGCATGTACCATGTGGGTAGCAGGGGCCCAAGCACTTGGATCGTCTTCTGTTTTTCCCAGGCACACCCACATGGGATGCCAGCATTGCAGGTGGTGGCTTAACCCTCTGAGCCACAGTGCCAACCCAATTTTAAAAATTCTTACACGGGCTTCTTTGTATTTTATTTTTAAAGTTTATTTACTTCCATCTACTTGAAAGGCAGAGAGAGACAAACAGAAAGAGAGATTTCCTATCCACTGGTTCACTCCCCCAAATGCCATATAACATGTAAGCCTGGGCTAAGTTGAAGCTCAGAGCCTACACTCCATCTGGGTCTCCCACATGGGTGGCAGGAGCATGAGCACTTGAGCCATCATCTGCCGCCTCCCAGGATGCATTAGCAAGAAGTTGGATCAGAAGCAAAGCAGCCAGGACTCAAATCTGCACTCTGATATGGAATGCGGGTGTCCCAAGAGCCAGCTTAACCTGTTGTGCTATAATACCTGCCCTGAGTCCCTTTAAAAAAATAATTATATGTATATGTATATGTATATGTATATGTATATGTATATGTATATGTATATGTATTTGAAAGGCAGCATTAGAGAGAGAGAGGGAGACACAGAGATCCATCTGCTGGTTCACTCTTCAAATAGCTACAATGGCTGGGGCTGGGCCAGGCTGAAGCCAGGAGTCCAGAACTCCATCTGGGTCTCCCACTTGGGTGGAAGGGACCTAAGTAGTTGGCCATCATCTGTCTTCCCAAGTGCACTAGCAGGTAAAGCTCCTTTTTTTTTTTCTTTTAAGTAATTAATTAGTTTGAAAGGCAGATCTTATCCACTAGCTCACTTCCTAAATGCCCACAATGGCTGGGGGTCCAAAGCCAGGAGCCAGAATTCAATCCATGTCTTTCACATGAGTAGCAGGAACCCAACTACTTGAGTCATCACTGCTGCCTCTCAGGGTCCCCATTAGCAGAAAGCTGGAATCAGAACCTGGTGCTGGGACTCGAACCCCAGCGCTCTGATAGGGGATGCAGGTGTCCTAATGCTAGGTCAAATGCCTGCCCCAGGCATATTTATTCTAAGCCTCACGAAATCTGAAACAGTGACCCAGAACATATGTGATACTTACTAGAATCACTTACTACGGGATGTTCTGGCAAAGGGCTGTGGCTAAGTTACCTATGAAGATTTTTTTTTTAATTTATTTATTTGAAAGAAAGTTACACAGAGAGAGAGGTCTTCCACCTGCTGGTTTCACTTGCCAGATGGCTGTAAGTGCTGGAGCTGAGCTGATCGGAAGCCAGGAGCCAGGAGCTTCTTCTGAGACTCCCACACTGATGCAGGGACCCAAGGACTCAGGCCATCCTCCACTGATTTCCCAGGTGCATTAGTAGGGAGCTGGCTCGGAAGTGCAGCAGCCCGGACTTGAACCGGCACCCATATGGGATGTTGGCACTGCACCTGGGGCTTTAACCCATAGCGCTGGCCCCCGGAGATTCCTAACAATGAAGAAACACCAAGCTCTCAGAACATGAGAAAGTGACGCTTCTGAAGGAGCCCCTTTCCTAAACTGTGAGGGCTCTTCTGAGCACGACGGCTGCTTACGGCACAGACTGCAGCCAAACCACCCCGATTAGAGTCTTGGCTCCATCGTTTCTTGTTTCTGTGACCTTGGGAAAGTCAGTTAGCTTCTCTATGCTTCAGTTTTCTCATCTTAAAATGGTGATGGTCGGGGCTGGTGCCGTGGTGCAATGGTTTAAAGCCCCAGCTGCAGTGCCGGCATCCCATATGGGTGCCAATTCAAGTCCCGGCTGCTCCGCTCCCGATCTAAATCCTTGCTAACTTGCCCGGGAAAGCAACAAAGGATGGGCCAAGTCCTTGGGCCTTTGCACCTACATGGGAGACCAAGAAGAAGCTCCTGGCTCCTGGCTTTGGATCAACTTATCTTTGGCCATTGTGGCCATCTGGGGAGTGAACCAGTGGATGGAAGACATCTCTCTCTGTTTCTTCCTCTCTCTGTAGAATAAATAAAGAAATCTTTCAAATAAATAAAAGAAATCTTTTTAAAAATGGGGATGGTAGTTATCATCTCATAGGGTTGTTGCAAAGATTAAATGAATATATAATGTGTAAAATATTTAGAACTGTGCTGACAGAGTAAGCTATAATGATGAGACTTCTGATTATTATTGTTACAGTGCTTTTGTGATGCACATTTAACTATTTCATAGAAAATTCATCTAATTTTTCGTTAAGGAGTTTGAATCTAAAATTTGAAAAGCATCTAAAAAAAAGAGTTTTGGGGCAGGCATTTAGTGTGGCAATGAAGACCCTGCCTGAGAGCCCCACTTCTGACATCAGAGTGTGGGTTCGAGTCCTGGCTCTCTGTCCACTTCCAGCTTCCTGATACTGCAGACCCCAGGAGGTAGCAGGTGACAGATCGAGCACTTGGGTCCCTTTCAATGATGTGAGAGACCTGGATTGAATTTCTGGCTCCTGACTTTCACCCAACCCAGACCTGGCTGTTGTAGACATTTGGAGAATAGACTAGTGGATGGAAGATCTGTGTCTTTGCCTTTCAAATAAAATGAAAGTAAACAAACAAAAATTTAAGAACCTTTAAAAAGATAAAGCTGCCTGATTTTTCCTTTCCATAAAAGAGCTCTCTGAACTGAGCTGAAGGCAGGCAGGCCGACCCAGGGAACAGTGTGCTGCATTGGATGTCCACAGGACCCCTGCTAGCCTCTGAGGGTCCAAGGCTAAGCCCAGCCCCTGGGATAGGGGATTGGAAGGAGACTGGCATGGGCAGAGAGTCAGAGCCTCAGCCAGGACATCAGGATTTGGGGTAGGGCAACTGAGGCAGGACCCCGGTGGCTGAGGCAACGCCATCTAGCATTGCGGTTCCCGTCAGTTCTGCTGGTTCCCGATTGTGGGATGTGCTGCGGCTACTGCTAGGCCTCTTGCATGAGGCAGACCTGGTCTACACTCCACCTTCCTCACCCTGCAATCTTCCGGTGCCCTGCAGGCATTGAGAAGATCCAGTGCATAAGATCCCAAGGGGTGGCCGGCGCCGCAGCTCACTAGGCTAATCCTCCACCTTGCAGCGCCGGCACACAGGGTTCTAGTCCTGGTTGGGGCGCCGATTCTGTCCCGGTTGCCCCTCTTCCAGGCCAGCTCTCTGCTGTGGCCAGGGAGTGCAGTGGAGGATGGCCCAGGTGCTTGGGCCCTGCACCCACATGGGAGACCAGGAGAAGCATCTGGCTCCTGGTTTCGGATCAGCGCGGTGCGCCGGCCGCAGCGCGCTGGCTGCGGCGGCCATTGGAGGGTGAACCAATGGCAAAGGGGCAGCTCTGCACAAGTAGATGAGACTCATATCTGAAAGTCTAATGCACAAACCACTCCAGGCCTCTGCGCACAGCAGATGTCCAAACAGGCGGCAAACACAGGCCTGAAGCATGGAGGGATCCACAGGGAGGTGGACAAGGCGAGGTCTGTTGGGGAACGAGGGAGGGCCTGGTTGAAGAGAGCTTTCCCTCCAGGAACCCCAACTTGCTCAGCCCCATCAAGTATGGTCAGAGGGGATGGGGTTAAAGCCCAGACTGCAGGGAGGCAGGAAAAGAACTGGGAGCTCAGGGAGGGTGCCAAGAGCTCAGGTCGGGGCTGACATCGTGGCGAAGCAGGTTAAGTCACTGCCT